AACCAACCAACAATAGTTGATAGATTACTTAGAGAATGCAGTCACACTTTCCCTCATCAACAATATAACGCTGACTTAAATATCATTACATATTCGATCACGGTAGCCGATAATTAGCTGCATACGTCCCAGGGTAACGTTAGCCAACCTTGTGCTACCTGCCCACAGACCACTGAACCTTAGCAGCTAACACAGGGTTTGGCTGTAGCACTGGGGTATTTAATGTGGAAACCATTCGCTATCTTAACAGGCTAAATCTAGTTTGTAAACAAATTAAAAGTTAATTTACGTGACTATACCATTTGAGATACGATCTACCGGTGCTGTCAGAGCTAGCTCATGATCAGTGGCTCGTTCCAGGTAATGTTATTCATCATGATAGCTAGCAGTCAGGTAGCAGTGAGCAGAAAGCATTTTCACGCGTTGATAGCGTTAACGTGAAATGTTCCGAGTCGACAACAGAAACAGAACAACACATAAAATACTCACTGGATTATTTTGTAAAACAGTCACGCCCTAAAACACCACTCCTTAAAATTAACCCAAATTTGGCACGGCAACCCAAACGAAAATATAACAGGAAACATTTTTTTTTTAGAAATTAACATTAAAATTCAAGATGGCGGCCTAGCACAGGCGAGTGGGAGAGAAAGGCGAAGCACAGCCACCCTAAAGAAAATAGATCCAACAAACACGCAACCGTTCACGTCTGATGGGACCGAAATTAGAAATATTACTCGAGGGTACAGTTTGAAATTTGAAAACTGGGCATCGTGCGCGAGTTTTAATAGCTTATGTTGAAAAAATGTTGAAAGTTGTTATCTTAGTTTGTTCCAGTCATTGTCGGATGTATACAAAAGTAGTGCTGCATAAACAAACCTTTTTACGCTTCCCAAAGAATCAAGTGGTAGCAGGCACACAGACGGTGGATCTCTGGTCCTTTTCATGGAAAACCTGTCCAGAATAAGCTAGAACAAGTGAACCTATAACTACAACTACACAACTGCCCTTGCGACTTCTTATTTTGATACCCACACCCCTTTTTTTCCAAAGATCATTCGTTAATGTGGGTAACGCTACAGGCTCATGAATAGGCTATTCTACAGAACCAGAGGATACTCTGTTGCATTGCCACTGCTAATTGATCCACAACATTAATCTATCCTTTTGTATGATCTTACTCAGCTGAATTAGGTGACTACCCATCCAGTATTCACACAATAAAAATTAGTACATTTTGTTCAAGTTAATGAACTCCTCCGTAAAGGCTTTATTACTTACTGTGTACATTTCTGCAGGGTCTAATCTAATAAAGAATCAAAATAACATTAACAGATAACTGCATTAGGCCACCAGGGATGGATACTGAACAGGCCTACAGGTCATAAGGCGTCAAACAGACTGAGATAGTCTACAAAACAACAACTGAGACACAAAATGGCCATAAAACCAAAACAACTACAAAAAGATGTAAAATGTCCTCACAGAGTTGCAAAAGGACTGCAGATGCTAAGTAACCATGAAGAAACACAAAACAGCTTTAGGAAGTAAAACATCTACAGAAATGCAAAACCACCACAAAGCCTTACAAATCATCTAGAAAGAGATGTAAAATAACCATAATGAGACAGTGCTACTGCTTTTTAGTAAATGTGGCATTTTGTTTTCGCACTGTAGCTACTGTAACAGAATTTTATCAGTTTTATTTTATTTCAGTGTATTTTTGTGTATTTAACTAATTTTCAATCCTATTCAAGGGCATAATTTTATATTGCATTTCTTTTGTTAATGTTGGAAATGCCAGTAAAAATACAGTTCCTTCAGGTACACTAGTATTTGTTGGGCTACATGCTTTGGTTTGACCAACAGACTCTGCCACATTCGTCGTCACTCTTCGGTAGAGTAAATGGTTGTCAGGCCTTCCTGACAGTTATCGCTTCTTACTGGAAGCATAGATAGGGCCTACTCCAATTCGTAGTTGGCTCATTAGGCCCTTATCATACACCAGACCTTTGTTTGTCATGTCAGTAATAACTGTGCAAGATATAGGTACAGTACTTAGGTAGGCCTAGCGAAAGATCATAGTTTGGGCTAAAATATGTAGGCCTACTAACATAACAATAGTGATGCAAACAGAAAACAAACAGCTGCTTCTGATTCAAAGTCCTGTGTCTTGTTGCCCATCCATCATCCCTGACCCACTCCCTACACAGACATGGTTGCTCTTTATAGAACTTCATGCACCAATGGTGACTGTTGCTCCTGTCATAATTACTAAGTCAGAGGTCACCTATTGTAGCACATAGTACAAGTTGGGGCCTACTGGCAGGTGCTGTTTGCCCCCACTGAAGCTATGTTATGTGTGTGATAACAACTAATAATGACCATTTAATGGGGTGATGCAGCATTTGAAACAAACAATGAGATGAAAGACAGTACCTGGTCAGCACCAAAAAGCAGACAAATAGAGCTAGCTGGTGAACATAGTGAAGAATTTAATAGCCGAAAAATAAGATATTTTTCTCAGGAGTTGTTGAAGATGAAGAACAGAATCAAAATGAGAATAAATTGTTGAACCTGGATTTTTCAGGTGGCTACAAACACAGCTCCAAATGATAGGCTAATGTTGCTCTGTGTGCGTTGATAGATAAGTCACTTTTTGCTATCATACTAGCCATATCAACTTCATAAGGTTTTCAAAAAAAAACTCTTGTACCATTGGTCTGGTTTGATATTTTTGAAAAATGGTTTTACATGTGCAGCAACCTGTGGCCATGTTAAGTTAACCTAATGAAAGAGT